TGTTATATACCAACCTAATATCCATAAGCATAACAAAAGATATTTCAATAAATTAATAGAATGTATTAAAACATAACACTTATAATTTGTGAATATCTCACCTGGGTGATTTAAAATGGGGGCATGGCCAAAATATTTCTGAAAGTGGGCAATAAGCCCACATCGATAATAGATTTTTTAAAAAGTCAGGTTGACTTTTTCCCCCATTTCATCTGGGAATGGGTGTGACTGGTTCAACTAAACTATCAGGTCTTCAGCAAATCAACCACATCTGAGACTTTCATAATGCAAGTCAAGAGTTTGCTGAAGTGAATGCGGGGCTTCCTGAACCTTCATGAGTGAATTGGAAATGCTCCAGACTATCGCTGAAGGGTCTGTTTAATCTAGATATCAGCTCCTGGAAAGTGCATGGCCTTTAGTAATTGTATTTGGGGGTCATTTGGAGGAGAGGGGAGAATGTAAGGGCTCAGAGGAAGAACCTAGAGTTCAAGGAAGCAAAAGAGGATTTGCATAAGTTTGCTGGAAAATAAAACTAATAGTTTCTAGAAAATCGGTAAGTGTAGTGGGTAGTCTCAAGAGTCAAGCCCCCAGAGCCAGAACCGATACTGGAAAGAGAAGGTTAATGAAATTATTTTTGAAAACTCCAGGTTCTGCAGCTCAAGTTGTGATTTTAACTGACAAATAGGCTTGGAGTGACTGCCAGTTTCGTTAATGATTTTAAAAAAACAGTAAAAATGTTCCAAGTTGCAGCATCTCTAGCTATCAAGAGGAAGTGCTGGAACAAGAGCGCATTCACAAGATTTATAGTGCTCTGCAGGCATCTTCTTGACCACATTAATTTTTCTATTACGTAGTTACTAGGGAATTTTTCTCACTTTTCCTTTAATGCTTGGTGGGAACTATCATACAAATGGGGTATGGGAGAGTTCACTGTTATTGCTGTGAACACTACTCAGGTTTCCTTCCAGCTGAAAAGAAAAGCCCAGCCCATGGCAAGTACAAATCAGCCATGTCAGCTTAGTGATGGACTTTTTGCCATTGCAAAAGCGATCGCTTAGCAATGGTCCCTATGGGGAAATTTCACGCAGATATATAAGTCCCCCAGCCAACAAATGAGCTGCAGTACAGAAATACTACATGCTATGCATAATATTGCTCTGTCATATTTGGTGCAAGCATGAAGAACAAAAAACAAAATGGCCACCCCCTGTTTTGCCTCGCTTAAGAGGCAGCGAAAATAGCGGCGCTATGGAGGATTTTCACTGAAAGGTAAGTTTTTAAGCCCATAGGAACGCACTAAACGCATTTTAATGCGTTTCTATGGGCTTTTTAAAATAACTTAGCAATGAAATCGCTTAGCGACTTTTTTCCCCGAACGGATTAATGTCACTAAGCAAAGCACCACTGTATTGTGAAATATGGGAGGCCCTGGAGAGAAGCAGATATATAAGTCCCCCAGCCAACAAATGAGCTGCAGTACAGAAATACTATATCCTATGCATATTACTGTATTGCTCTGTCATATTTGGTGCAAGCATGAACAACAGAACCCATGATATCTTAAAAGCTAACATTTTGTTCAGGTACTAGCAGTTTCATCTTATTTTCTATGAGTACCTTAGGCCTGTCGTAATTTAATTCATTCTCTTGGCTTTATTGCTAAGGTTTACTTGCTTTCTATGCATTACTTGCAGGCAGCTCTTGAAACGGATTTCAGTTGCCTGCAATTCACTGAAGGCCAGGCTTTTCCAGAATTGCAACATTGGCCTTGAACTGGGAAAAGCTGAGTTGTTGTTTATAAATCTGTAAGACCCCCTCCCCCCATATCAAACTGTGGATCCTTCATTTATTGGCTAATCACAAGGAAAGGCTCATTTCTTTAATCATCATCATCATCATCATCATCTTTGAACTGCGGAGCTGGAAGGGACCCTATGGATGGGGCATTGAGTCCATCCCGTGTCAGGGAGGAACAGTGGGGAACTGAACTCCCAACCTCTGGCTCCACAGACAAAAACCTAAGCCAATGAGCTATCCAGAACATTTTTAAACAACTGTTGACCTAATAGTTATCTCCATGCTTTTCCTTATGTCTTCACTATAATAAAGGTTAGATAATTACTTTAAAAATAATAATAAAAACTTGGAATCTGGACCAGCTGGTGGTCTAAATGTGCATTGGGTGGCAGGCCTAAAATCAGAATGAAAACCCAGCCAGCTGGGTAATATGCCAGCTGTAGTCTTTTTTTTAGAAACGAGATGTCACTTCTTATTTCCAAAACGAATGATTTTTAAGGGCTTGAATGGCCCAGACAGATGATACTATGCTTATTGGGCATATTGTGCCTTTCAGAAGAAGCTTTGGGAGGAGGGCTGGAGTCTGAAACATTAGCCAAAGTGTGTCTGGGGGATTACTCAAGGGAAGGGAGGGCAAAGGTGTGTGCACCTTTCCAAGGTCTGAGGAGGAGGCAGGAAAGGCCCTAAGACCTTTAGAAGTGGGCTACAGGAGCACAGTGTACTTAAATATTGGCAATGTTTGTGGTCTTCGGGAAAAGCTAGGATAAACTTGACAATATAGCACTGTATATTTGAGGGGGAGAGAGATAAATCTTGTATCTTAGCACAGAACCCTTGCTATAACCTACATCTGTTCTTTGGTTAATAGGATTGTAATGTAAAGAAAATGTACTATCAGACCAAAATGAAATAATGAGAAGGGAGAAACGCTATCCTGAAGGATTATACAGAAGAGGTAGAAAAATGACAGATATCTTTTAAGAATAATCCTGTGATGAAGAACCTGCAATTTTGGAAAATGAAGTGAAATCTGTTCTCAGAGCACCTGGAAGTAGCAAGTTATCAGGAGTAGGTGGGATACTGAGATAACTATTTTAAGCTACAGAGATTGAATTGTCAAAATCCTAATAAGGATATCCCAACAAATATGGAAAATAAGCAATGGTGTACACATTGAAACATTCAATCTACAGTATGTTCTACTTCACAAGAAAGGAAATGGCAAGGAGTACAGTGGCTACAGGACCACTGCATTAATTTCACATACCAACAAATGTGATGCATATTGAGCCACACCACCTCCTGCTATAACACCACTGTTACAGCTGGATACTGGGTCAGCCCAAGGCCTTTTGTTACCTGAGTCATAGCAGCAAATGGCACTCTCTGCCGTCATCAAGGTATACAGCATCCAAGGCCCTCCAAGCTATTTTGCTACTAAGGTATTAAAAAAACCTTACTTCTCCCCGTCAACAAACCTATAACAATAATAAATAACAATGTGCCAGCCTCGCCTAAAACTTGCATCAGTTGTCTGAGCCAACTGTCTCATATTCCCTAATGACTGGGTCAGTCCAGGCTATACAGACCAGACAGTAGTGGTGATTCTGTTGTCAAGGCCAGGCACACCTGCTGATTGGCTTGGCTGGATAAGGGGTGAATGTTACCAACTTTCAAATAATGATTAGGGAACTACTCCTTTCAGAGTTGTGCTGTGCTAGGAAGCCTGCTGTTTCTCATGTGTCCAATGAGATGCTTTAATCTTGCAGCTGAACAGTGCCTCTCCAGTTTCTGAAGGAAAACAGATGCTGGTTGTCATGACACTGCTTCCCACTATGTGCTAATTTCTTTCCCTTGCAGTTCCTACCTCAACTTACAGCATGCCCCTCCTCTTTCTGCCTGCCCCCTTCTTTGTTCTGACATCTTGTTGCACCTTGTTGTGATGTCTCCCACTCCTACGTGGACATGCTAAGGCACTCAGCAAGTGTCTCCCCACGCCTATATGTGTCATGTGCCACCTGATACACTTGCTTCTTTTGTGCCAGCGCTGTCTCATAGTCTGTGTATATGTTTGTGAGAGGACTGTGATAATTCATGATTATGCCGTGTTGCTCTTTGCATCAGGTCATCATGGTAGACACAAAAGAAGTCAAATATATCATTAGGACCTATACTGGAGGGTCTTCAGCCATATGCCAAGGGTCTGCCTCAGTTTTCATACCATTTTACTGTAATGCTGCCTTGATGACACATGCAGTCAGTGAGAAAAGAGAGAGAGAATACAAGTAAGCTTGTACTGGGAGCTCCTTGGCTATACTGCAGCATTGCAGTCAAATCTCTGCTTACAACCTGGATTTGAGCATGACTGGTTCAGGTAACCACCTCAAAGTGTTCTTTGCATAAATAATTTGTAAACTGCCCAGAGAGTGCTCTAAGCACTATGCGGCGGTATAAGTGAAAACAACAGCAACTGGGGATACATGAGTGTACTCAAATTGAACAGGAAATAACAAGATTTTGGCAAGGCACTGGTGTTGTAGTGGGAGAAACAGGTGTAACCAGAAATACAAATGAAGATGTGGCTGGAAAGAGGGCGTGCCCTTCCTCAGATGATGGACACTTGTGAAGCACATGATCACAGTCTGAAGCACAACATACCCACCAGAGTATACAGGGAGAGAGCACAATAGCAGTTCACTCGGGGAGCTGTACAATGTGGTGTTTTCAAAAAAACAAACAAACAAAAAACAAACTCTGAAACCTTTCACAAGGTTAAAGCATCAACTGTCATTTAAGCCAGGAAGGGTAGGAACTGCCTTAACTGATGCAGCTTTGGGAGACAAAGGCTCTTCACAGGCTCAAGAGAGAAATCTATCAAAAACCTGAGAGCTAGCATGAGGGAGGGAATAAAGGTTGGACTGCTGAACCAGTTCCACAACTCTAGAAACGTTCTGTGGCATTACTAAGGCGTTATCACTCTCTGCCAGTCCCACAGTAAAACTGAGCCGCCGAAATGGGTGACTCATGCAGAACTGTCAATCTGAAATTACTTTCAACAGTTAACAAGGTACTATGTGGGGGGAGGAAGCTGAAAGCAAGACCCTGGCGGTGAAAGGGCAACACATCCCATTTCTACAGTAGTCAGGATTAAGAGAATACTTTGCAATTGCCAAGTTCAGGAGGAGAGGGGGGGTTGTTTTTTTTTTTAAACAAATCTTATATTCCAACACTCCCAGTATGCTATTTAAATAGTAACATAATAATTATGCTATTGCTAGTTTTTACCATATCACTCCTTTTGCCAGTGTCACTCTTTCTATGGGGACATTTTAGAAAACTGGACAGGGAGATTTCCCTGTAGTTTCCACAACTTCCTTTTTAAGGTAACCTCCCCTTTGTGTTGCTAAACTGACAAGTGTGAGGCAACCCTCTCTTTGTTGCAACTTGTACTAAGTGATGGCGAGCTGTTTTAGTAAACCGACACTCACCTCTGTCTCATTGGGCTGGGCTTCTGAGCATGCCATTGGTTTCTAGCCTGTCTGATTAAGACAGGACACAGAGCAAACATAGGAAGTACAGTACTAGTTGGAAGTGTACAATCCTTGAGTCTGTTTGCTGTTCAGAGCGTTCGAAGCAAGGGTTTTGCTGATTAGAGCGTAATCACATTTTAAACCTGTAGAAGGGCAAGATAAAGTCAAGTGCCTGCCCGTCCGGCTAGGAGCGAAGGATCCCAGCAACAAATCAAAGGACAACAATGGGGATATTATATTCACAGGTATGTAGCCATTTCCTAGACTGCTACCAACTGCTGTTTGCTATTAATATACTGTACAGAGAAGTTGCTCAGCACTTGTTCTGAAGACTACCAACTGCTGTTTGCTATCAATATGCAGAGAAGTTGCTCAGCACTTGTTCTGAAGCCTTTGAAACATATCCTTCAAGCACATTAATGAGATTTTACACTTTGTACTTTGAACATGGCAATAATGATATGTGGGGTTTTTTTCCCCCACACTGAAACTTGAATGATAGGTGTGAAGGAGAACTATTTGGAGAAATATGTTTCATGGCACCTGGAACATTTGAATTCTGTATTCTCCCCCAAAGAGTCTTCAGTTGAGGTGTTTTGTCTGGTATTTGTAATTGAAAGAGACAATTATGATGATTGATTTCACTCTCCACCAGGTCTTTCAGTTAAGAAAAGAGTGGGGGGTTGCAGTTCCCACAATTTCCTCATTAGCATGGCAGCTAGTGTTAGGCAAAGAGATTCTGGGAATTATATTCTGCAACAATAATACAGTATTTGCAAGTCCTGAATCTTAGGAGATGGTTTCTGAGATAATGTGGCCGTATAATGTCCACCATTGCAAAGAAAAACACACGTGCAGTCAATTCTATCTTTTAAACAGCTGTGAACCTCTGTGTATAAATCTTTGTATAATGTGTACAAATTGGATCCTTCAACAGTGATTTCAAGTGAGTTTGAAGTACAGTAGCTAGAACAGTAGTGCAGACCAAGAAGCTGAGAAGGAAATGGGGACATATTGGTTTGTTTGGGTGAAGCCCAAGGGATACTGAAATGGAAAACATTCTGGAAAGGAAAATAATGTCCCTTTCCCAAACATCCTAGTGAAGACCGCTCATGCTCAGTGGCCCAAAGGAGGGAGATAATATTGAGCGTCAGTTGGACAAGTGCATGTGTGTTAATGTAGCTGAGCTTATTATGGTTTGTAATCCCAGTGAGAGGCATGGCTGGATGACAACTGCCCCAAACAGGAGTAGAGCTGTTCGGGAACTCTTTCTTTCTTTCTTTCTTTCTTTCTTTCTTTCTTTCTTTCTTTCTTTCTTTCTTTCTTTCTTTCTTTTTCTTTTTCTTTTTGCCAAATCCAGTTGCATTCATTTATTTAAAAACTTACAGAATAACATATTTATGGGCATTTGCTGTTTTTCAGCATGGCACTATTATATTGCTCAGAAAAACAACAGCTGTTCTTTCATTTGTAAGGCCACCATGTAAACTGAACAACTCGTAGGGAAATGGGAATGCTAGCCAAAAGTGAATTGGAAGGGAAACAGGTCTGTTGTACCTGCACACAAATAAGCCTATAAAGGTGTCTGGTCGGACTGCATTCCATTTCAGAAAGTGATTTGGACTTCTGTCATTTTAGTCGAGTCACTGTTTGCTTGACGCTCCCCTTCTTATTGAAATGCAAAGATCTGCAGTGTGTATTGAGATGCCCAGGGAGGGGTAGTGGATAGAATGACAGTCTCAGGAGACCTGGGTTTGAATCTCAGCTCATCCATGGAAACCGACTGGGGCTGTGGAACTGGTAAAATCACTTCGTAAATTTCACATACCTGGAAAGCCCTGTTAGGGTTGCTATAAGTCAGTTCTGACTTAATGGAACACTACAGTGAGTATTAAAAATACAGCATATGCCATAGAATTTCCCATTACAAAGATTCTTTCTGCTATTGGCAGAAGGACATTCGTGGATCTAGTATGTGCTCATAACTTTAAGGTATGAAAAGTAATCACAGCAAATAGCAATTCATGACACTGTGGTTAAATTGCAGTACTGCAATCAAGACTTTGTTCCTAATCTGAGTTCAGTTCCAAAATTCAGGCAGTCGACTCAAAGTTCACTCATCCCTTCCACCCTTCCAAGTAGTCAACTCATTGGGGAGCAATGTTGTTTGCATAATGATCGTTGTTTGTATAGTGGCGTTGTAAACTGCCCAAAGGATGCTTTAGCAGTATGGGGAGATAAATCAGTTGAAACAACAACACACTATTCATGGTTTGTTTGTATTTCAATTGAAAGCCCTTTAAGCATCCTGTTACTAAGTAGTAAACATTTTATTTTGTATCAATTTATTCACAGTGTTAATTGTTTCGTGTCAGCATATTGCTCACTTTTATTCCACAGATCAGAGGGAAGACAGTGGGAAGGCAGGAGATACATGGATGAGGTCTTTCCCCTGTCACAAAGACCTTAGGCCTTTCATTCCTATTGCTTCCTTAAAAAGCATGGGACACCACAACATGCAGCATACCACAGAAGTGAGTACACTCCTTCACATTTCATAACTACAGTATTTTAGTACTGTATATATTTTTATGTGACAACACTGAAGAAATTACACTTGGCTACAATGTGAAGCATTGAGCATACAGCTTGTATAACACAGCAAAATAACGCAACACACAGCCATTAATGTCTAAACCGCTGGCAACAAAAGTGAGTACACCCCTAAGTGACAATGTCCAAATTGGGCCCAAGTAGCTGTTTTCCCTCCCTGGTGTCGTGAGACCCATTAGTGTCACAAGTCTCAGGTGTGAAGGGGGAGCAGGTGTTAGTGCTTTCACTATGTTAGACTGGTCACTGGAAGTTCCACATGGCACCTCATGGTAATGAACTGTCTGAGGATGTGAAAAAATGAATTGTTGCTCTACATCATGATGGCCTAGGGCTAGGCTATAAGGCGATTGCCAAAACCCTGAAACTGATCTGCAGCACGGTGGCCAAGACCATACAGCGGTTTAACAGGACAGGCTCCACTCAGAACAGGCCTCGCCATGGTCAACCAAAGAAGTTGAATGCCCGTGCTTATGTGGTCCGGTGAGACCAAGATAAATTTATTTGGTTCAAATGGCGTCAAGCATGTGTGGCGGCAACCAGGTGAGGAGTACAAAGACAAGTGTGTCGTGCCTACAGTCAAGCATGGTGATGGGAGTGTCACGGTCTGGAGCTGCATGACTGCTGCCGGCACTGGGGAGCTACAGTTCATTGAGGGAACCATGAAAGCCAACATGTGCTGTGACGTATTGAAGCAGAGCATAATCCCTTCCCTTTGGAGACTGGGCTGCAGGGCAGTATTCCAACACAATAACCACCCCAAACACACCTCCAAAATGACCACTGCCTTGCTAAAGAAGCTGAGGGTAAAGGTGATGGACCGGCCAAGCATGTCTCCAGACCTAAACCCTATTGAGCATCTATGGAGCATCCTGAAATGGAAGGTGGAGGTGCACAAGGTCTCTAACATCCACCACCTCTGTGATGTCATCATGGAAGAGTGGAAGAGGACTCCAGTGGCAGTCTGTGAAGCTCTGGTGAACTCTATGCCCAAGAGGGTTAAGGCAGTGCTGGAAAATAATGGTGGCCACACAAAATATTGACACTTTGTGCCCAACGTGGATATTGTCACTTAGGGGTGTACAGTACTTACTTTTGTTGCCAGTGGTTTAGACATTAATGGCTGTGTGTTGTGTTATTTTGAGGGGACAGCACATTTACACTGTTATACAAGCTGTATACTTAACTGCTTTACATTGTAGCCAAGTGTCATTTCTTCAGTGTTGTCACATGAAAAGATATACTAAAACATTCGTGAAATGTGAGGGGGTGTATTCACTTCTGTGATATACTGTATATCTGGAGACAGGTAATACATATGCAGTGTGCTAATGCAAAAGTATCTGGCTGGACTGCCAAGTGACTTGAGTATCTGATTGTGCAGTCAGATGTTGGGAGTTAAATTCCCCACTGTGCCTCCTGCAAATAGAGGTTGGGCAGAGCTGCTCAGTCGAAGAATATCCCCCAGAAGAAGGGAATGGTAAATTATTTCTGAGTACTGTGTAACTAGAAAAGCCTAGAAAGGGTTGCAGAAAGTCAGAACTAACTTGATGATACACTATCATTATTAATGTACAGATGCCGTGAAGGAGAGGCAGGAATGACAGAACTGCCCCTACTGTAAGGCTCAGAGAATCAGTTGTTTCTTCAGCCAATGATGGACTGTGCGGAGGGACAACACCCCCACCCTCTAGAGCTGTTCTTTCTTTCTTTCTTTCTTTCTTTCTTTCTTTCTTTCTTTCTTTCTTTCTTTCTTTCTTTCTTTCTTTCTTTCTTTCTTTCTTTCTTTCTTTCTTTCTTTTTTGTTTTGTTGTTGTTCATATGAACTTCAATTCGGATTACCTCAGATTTTACCTTTAATTTATTTTTTATGCTTTATATAAACTGCCCAGAGTAGATGGGCAGTATATAAATAAATAAGTAAATAAGTAAATAAGTAAGTAAATAAGTAAATAAATAAATAAATAAATAAACAAACAAACAAACAAACAAATAAATAAATAGGGCCTGTTCTGCGCTCTTTAAGCTGGCCTACAGCTTTCAGGTGATGTATACTGTGTGTGGCCCCTACCCTCACCCCTCTAGCTGTGTCCTCTGTGTGTACAACCTGTGTGGCTTCACTAAAACGCTCCAGGTGTCATCCACTGAAATAAGGGTGTGATCAGATGGATGCACAGGCTCATGCCAGATCACATCGGGAAGGGACACAATTATGGAAACAGGATCTCTTAAAGCAACCATCCTGTATGCTAGGGAACCGCTGTAGTCTGAACCCCAAAAGGAGAAGGCCTACAGCTGGACAGGAAAGATCCATCTTTGGCACAAATCAGGGTTGGTATGGAATGTGTGCCCTGTGCATCGTATGATTGCTGGGAATTTGATCACACTGGACCACTCCACAGGTAGTCCAAATTGTAATCTATTTCTCTGTGGGATCACATCCTGGATCTGTCCTGAAGGCGCCATAACTCTTGTCTTTATTTTTGTTATTCATGTTGAAATAGAATATCTGTACCTCTTTGAATCCCCTACTCAAGTTGCCTAGCAACTAACACTCATATGCCTCTATTATTGTGATAATATACAGTCTAGTGAAACGGCTTGCCACAAGGCAGAAATGACTTGACAGCATATAATTATTAACTATTAAGTAACTGGTAGCTTTGTCCTTCATTAATTTGTCTGATCCCCTTTTAAAGGTGACCAGTTTGGGAACTGTTGCTACATTGTACATGCCTTACTAGTTTTAAGCAGTATATGAAGAAATACTAGCCTTTTTAAGAAGCTCATATATTTGGCTTCATTGGGTGATCCTGAGCTCTTGTGTTACAAGAAAGAGAAAAGCACATGAGTGAATCAGTTCCAGGCCTCAGGACAGAACAAGGGCAGAGTTGCCAATATCTGGATTTAGTGTATTGGGGAATTATTTAGGTGAAGTTCAGCCTGATTCCATAATTTTTCTTGGTCTCACAGAAGGTAAAAGGATGAAAGTCCTTGCTGTATGTTTAATAACATATTGATTGTTGTTGCTTAGATGCTTTATCTCTTTCACTCTAGTTTTTCAGAAATATGTTTATTTCTGAAAAACAAAAAACAAATTAGAAATGTATTTGATGAACTTAGAAGTGTATTTGACAAACTAGCTCTGGGTTTTTTATCACTCATAATTCTGTATATTTTTCTCTGTAAGGCTAATTCATCTATCTCCAATTCATGAGAGATAATAAACAATTTAATGGTTGAAACAAAGAGTTATATGAGTAATGCTGATGCCAATTAATTGGTTAAACCTGTTGACTGGAATCCTATTGGTGTTTGTTGACAGGTTGTGTATTCTGCCACAGCTAATTGACAAGGTGCCAGAGGGCACGGCTTATTGACGAGGTGCCAATTGGGCATATGATTAAGATGTGCCTGAGCTCCTTTTCAGTTATTTGCAATTAGCCACAACAAGTTACACAAACCTTATGTGTACATGAATAGGATTCTGGCCAAACAGTTTATCATGGGAGTTGATGAAAACCCTCTATTTTAGATATCTGACTACATAGGTCAGTGATTTAAGTATATGGCTGCAGAGCCAGAGGAAAGATTTCAATTCCCTGATGTGCCTCCAGGGAGAAGAGCCGGCCTGTGTGTCCTTGGGCAAGCTACAGAGTTTCAGGATGCCCCCAGAACAAGGGTTTGGAATTGCCTAAGGAACCTCCACAGATAGAAGAGCCTTTCTCCTTCAGGATGTGCACTCTCACAGAAAAAGAACAATGGAAATAGCAATTGAGGAGGGATAAGGGTAGAGTTAAACATTAACAATACCTAGGGTCGAAATGCCTGAACAGAGCTTGACAGCGGCATCCAATGGAGCTGTTCCCACTGGTGGAAAAAGAGTTCTAGATATATCTAAGAATAGATATAGAATGTTTCAGTGTTAAATGTCTGGAGCTGTTCTAACATGAAAACACTGGGACCAAGTAGCATCTGTATGTGCATGCACAATGTACTTGTATGATGTGTGCTCTATGCATCTTTCTCATTATCCTACTATTACTCCATTGTGAGTCTGTATCCTTTTCAGAGAAGACTCACCAGGGAAGAAAAGAATGTCTGGAAAAGTTCAAGGTAGGAAGAGAAGAAGACATAAAATGAGATGGATTGACTTAATAAAGGAAACCCAAAGCCAACAAGATATGAGTAGGACTGTAATGACAGGACCTTTTGAAAGTCATTAATTTCTGATCACTGAAAGATGTCAGATACCCTGAATAGATGAAACACCTGTATGAGGGCACCCTGAATTTGAGAACTTCAGCACTTGCTCTGTGCTTGCTGCCGTGCGATGCTAGGAGGATGGCTGGTGAATACGCAAGACAAGATTTTCTCTGTAGCAGCCCCTCTACAATGCGGATGGTTGAGCTCTTTCTCTGTTGAGCTTCTGGCAGGAAGCCAAAAAATATATTATTAAATAAGACCTTTGGTCTTTAAAACTAGTTTTTACAATGTCTTTTAAATTTGTTTTCAATCTGTTTCTAAAGATTTTGCTTGCTTTTACTGTGCTTTGCTTTGGAAGCCCAGGTGAACAGAAAAGCAATAAATAAATCATTGTACCACAGAGTGGTATAAATATACCAGATAATAAACACATTGTACTTGAATAATGGCCCCCAGTGGTTTTTCCATCCAGTCTACCTGAATATAGGCATTTTTGCCACCTTCTTAATTCGTTTCCTGCCATCAGTTAAGTCATGCTTTGTTGCCTATAAAGGACAAGATGAAACAGATTCATGCTAAACTCATAAAGATCCCAATCATTCTCATATCTGTAAGTTTCTTCTTACATATCAAGTGAACATTAAATTACATAGATCTTCCCTGTACTCTAACTGTATTGGGCATTCACAGGTGCATTTGGTCTGGACGTGGGAAAGGGCCTCTGTTGCTTCTTCCAGACTCTGGAACTCCCTCCTACAGGAGGCCAGACTAGTCCCATCTCTGCTGTCCTTCCACAATCTGGCAAAGACCTTTCTCTTCAGACAAGCTTTCCCTGAGAGAATGGCTGTTGAGGGTTTTTTTAAAATGGATTGCTGTACCTTACTGCATTGAATGTCTCTTGGTGTTGCTTGTTTTTTGGTATTGTATCACTGATTTTTTTAGTATTATGCATTCATTGTTACAAAATTAAATACTGTCTTTTAATTGTTGTAAGCCATCTCGGGTCCTTTTAAAGGAGAAAGGTGGTTTAAAAATATTTCAAACCAACCAACCAACCAACCAACCAACAAACCAACCAACCAACCAACCAACCAACAAACCAACCAACCAACCAACCAACCAACAAACCAACCAACCAACCAACCAACCAACAAACCAACCAACCAACCAACCAACCAACAAACCAACCAACCAACCAACCAACCAACAAACCAACCAACCAACCAACCAACCAACAAACCAACCAACCAACCAACCAACCAACAAACCAACCAACCGTGTTTCAGACAGTAGATAGTGTTGTCTCCAGGCTGCAGTTAATCTACTAGCACCACAGTGTGGATTTAAACTGTAATTGCAGTCTTAATACTATCTCCTGTTTTCCTCTTACACAGAAGGTAGACTTGTAAGGGCTTGTCTTATCTGGCCGAGCTCTTCCTTCCAGTTAAGTCTCCCCATCCTATAAGATCATTTCAGGCAGGGCGGCTGAGAGTTCTGACCCCGAGAGAGGCCTGGAAAACAACCATGAGGAATCAGGCCTTCTCAGGAGTAGCGCCACGGTTATGGAACTCTCTTCCGCCCGAAGTCCACCTGGCCCCTTCATTGGGCACATTCAAAAAGCTACTAAAAACCTGGGTATTTAGACAGGCCTTCCCTGAACAGGGACGTGGCGGTGCTGTGGGCTAAAGTCGCACTGGCCATGTGACCACGGAAGATTGTCTTCGGACAAAACGCTGGCTCTATGGCTTGGAAACAGGGATGAGCACCGCCCCCTAGAGTCGAAAACAACTGGACAAAAATTGTCAAGGGGAACATTTACCTTTACCTCCCTGAACAAACTACACTCTGATACAATAGTGCCCAATAATATAACTTCTATCACACTGCCATGCTCCATTTTAAAAATATTTTTCTATGCTTTTAATTGTATTTATTGTATTGCAATTTTATCCTCACTGCACTTTATGATTTTTGATTTTTGCTCCTATGATTTATGTTGTTTGCTATTTTGTTACCTTGTTTTATGTTACTTGTTGTAAACTGCCTGGAGTGGCCTTGGCTGCCAGATGGGCAATCAATCAATCAATCAATCAATCAATCAATCAGTTAGTCAGTCAGTCAGTCAATCAATCAACTAGAGCAGGCTGGATTGGGCTAAACCGACGTGGTAGGAAATCTGGTATGCCATTTGGTGCTATCCTTGCATCCAAATGGCACATTGACCTCAAACAACCCTATTTGGTCTACAGCAGCCTTTGCCATTATTGTGAAATAGCTTAATAAGACAGCCACTTCAGGATATTGGCAAATTAATTATTTTCTCAGCTCCCTAGAGAGGCTGAGAAAGTGGGGGCAAAATTAATATTTGAATTGAATATCCACTGTTTTATATTAAATTGAATGCTTCCTCCCAGAAGCTTTTATTTGCTTTGTTTTCAAAGTCTGATAGAGAGCTGGCAGACACCTGAATCAGGCAGAATTGGGCAGATTTAAGGGCTTGAGGTCATTAAATGATTCCATACATAAATAATAAAAACACAAATTTGATTGTAGTGAATCTATCAAACTGGCTTTATATTACAGTATTCCATTTATCTATGGCATTTAACAAAACTGAAGAATCAGCACATATATTCCTCAAATATATAGGTAAAGGTAAAGGTTTCCCTTGACAATTTTTGTCCAGTCGTGTTCGACTCTAGGGGGCGGTGCTCAT